CTCGGGTGGTTTATATAATGATTGTTGTGAAGTGGAACTGTTCTCCAGACGCTCGTGATGCCAGTGCTGGTGCTGTACATTCGACTGGCGTAGTCGCTTTCAATTAATCATTGAAATGGAATCGTTCGCCAGGCACCCATGTCTGCCTGCAATAGACTTAGCATTATCAACTTGTAACAGAAATAATCAACTTCGAGCACTGATGATTGCCTACACTGGCGTTACTTCTCCAGTGATGGCGTAAGGGTGATTAACATATTTACCACAGAAATGTTAACATGAAAAATAAGGAGATATATTTAGAAGAGTAAACAATGGTGGATATATTTAGGTGGAGAATATAAAAGGTGTTGTTTACTAGGTGAGGGAAAATATTACCCTCACCCCTCATCCCTCACCTCCTCACCCCTCACCCCTCACCTCCTCACCCCTCACCCCTCACCCCTCACCCCTCACCCCTCCCTCTCACCCCCATCTCTCCCTCACCACTCCCCCTCTTCCATCCATCTCTTCCATTTCTCCTGTCACTTCTCCTCACCCCTCTCCTTCCATCTTTCTCACCTCTCCCTCTTCCCCTCTTTCATCGCCCCCACCTCTCCATCTCCTCCTCTCCCCTTCCTCTCCCTCCTCTCTCTCTCTCCTCCTCTTGCTCCCTCTCCCTGCCTCTTCTCCTCCTCCTCTTCTCTCCAGATAATCGTTACACCATCTTTATCTCTCGCATTTATTGCCTCGTAATTTTTATATTGCCTTATTCTCTTGTATCTTACCTGGGGGGGGAGAGAGGGGAAGAGGAGAGGAGGGGAGGGGTAGGAGAGAGGTAGGGGAGCGGAGGGAGAGTTGACAGGGGAGGGGGGATGGAAGAGGGGATGGGAAGGAGAAGGGTAGAAGAGGAGGAATAATGGGAGGGAGAAAGGATGTATGTGAGGAGACAAGTGGGTGAAGGGGAAGTATGGGGGGCTGAGTGGTAGGGTAAGGGAGGGGTAGGGGTGAGGGGGAGGAATGGTAGGGGAGGAAGGAGGATGGGGGTAGGGGTGAGGAAGGAATGGTAGGGAGGAAGGAGGGATGGGGGTAGGGGTGAGGAGGGATGGTAGGGAGGAAGGAGGGATGGGGTAGGGTGGAGGAAGGAAATGGTAGGGGAGGAAGGAGGGATGGGGTAGGGGTGGAGGAAGGAATGGTAGGGGAGGAAGGAGGGATGGGGGTAGGTGGCAGTCATATTGAATTACCCGTTGATAATCCCCCGTACAGTTCATTTTTTATCGTTGTCTCTTTATTATCTCTAAATCCTCTATTATCCACCTCTCACCCACACCCCCACCCACACACCCACACCCCCACCAACACACCCACACCCACAGAAATTATAGGTATCCCACAAATCTTGTCCCTCTGCCTCCCCCCTGCCTACGCTGACCAATCAAAACTTCCGGTGTAATTCTAACTCGCGTTTGATTGGTTTGGTTATGCATCACTTGTGTGTTATTGTCGAGGTGCAGGAAGCCGCCAGCCTCAATGACGATGTAATAATAATAATAATTATAATAATAATAATAATAATAATAATAATAATAATAATAATAATAATAATATAATAATAATAATAATAATAATAATAATAATAATAATAATAATAATAATAATAATAATACACATTAATATCTCTGCACACACACACACACACACACACACACGTCACCATACATATTAATATACTCATGTTTCAGAACTGAAACACAGAAACGTACACACAAATATACACATGGACACGCATTTCCACACAGACACACAAACACACAAAAACAAACACAGATACACACATGAAACATATTATACACATGGAAACACATATAAACTCACACACACACAACACACACACACACACACACACACACACAACATACACACACACACACACACACACACACACACACACACACACACACACACAAGCTACATATAGTTATTTTTGACCCCAGAGAAACGGGAGGCGGTGGTGAGGTAATGATGCTATAGCTCACTGAGACTGAGGAGAGGAGGGGGAGGAGAGGAGGGAGAGGAGGGAGAGGAGAGGAGGGAGAGGGGGGAGAGAGGGGAGAGGAGGGAGAGGAGGGGAGAGAGGGGGAGAGGAGGGGAGGGGAGGGAGGGGTGGGAGAGGGAGGAAGAGGGGAGGGAGAGGGAGGAGGAGAGGGAGGGAGAGGGAGGGAGAGGGAGGGGAGAGGGAGGGAGAGGAGGGAGGAGGAGGGAGAGGGAGGAGAGGGAGGGAGGGAGGGAGAGGGGTGGGGAGAGGGGAGGAGAGGGAGGAGAGGGGGGAGAGGGGGGAGAGGGAGGGAGAGGAGGGGAGAGGGGAGGGAGGAGGGGAGGGGAGGAGGAAGAGGGAGGGGAGAGGGAGAGGGAGGAGGGAGAGAGGGAGGGGAGAGGAGGGAGAGGGAGGAGAGAGGGAGGGAGAGGGGAGAGGGAGGAAGAGGGAGGGAAGAGGGGAGGGAGAGGGAGGGAGAGGGTGGGAGAGGGAGGGAGAGGAGGGAGAGGGAGGGAGAGTGGAGGGGAGAGGGGGAGAGGGGGAGAGGGAGAGGGAGGGAGAGGGGAGAGGGAGGGAGGGGGAGAGGGGAGAGGAGGAAGAGGGAGGAAGAGAGGGAGAGGAGGGAGAGGAGGGAGAGGGAGAGGGAGAGAGGGGGAGAGGGGAGAGGAGGAGAGGGTGGGGAGAGGGGAGGGAGGGAGGGAGGGAGAGGGAGGGAGAGTGGAGAGGGGGGAGAGGGAGGGAGAGGGGAGGGAGAGAGGGAGAGGGAGGAGAGGGAGGAGAGGGGGGGAGAGGAGGGAGAGGGAGGAAGAGGGAGGAAGAGGAGGGGAGAGGGGAGAGGAGGAGAGGGTGGGAGAGAGGGGAGGTGGGAGAGTGAGGGAGAGGAGGGAGAGGGGGAGGGAGGGAGAGGGAGGGAGAGGGAGGGAGAGGAGGGGAGAGGGAGGGAGAGGGAGGGAGGGGGGAGGAGAGGGAGGGAGAGGGAGGGGAGAGGAGGGGAGAGGGGGGAGAGGAGGGGAGGGGGAGAGGAGGAGAGAGAGGAGGAGAGGAGGGAGAGAGGGAGGGAGAGGGCAGAAGTGTGAGGAGAGTGAGGGAGAGTGAGGGAGAGAGGAAAATGAGGGAGAGTAAGAGGGTAAGAGAGGAAGGGAGAGGGTGAAGAAGAGAGAATAAAAGGAAGAAAGAGAGGGGAAGAATGGGATAGAGGGAGAGAGGGGGGAGAGAGAAAGAAGAAAATGAGATGAGAGAGACAGACAGACAGACAGACCAACCACATCACCACATGTAACCATAATAACAAAATACATTACATTAACAAACCCACCCTCACATCTACCCACCCCCACACCCCACCCCACCCCACCCCACCCCACCCCTAAAAAAGACCCACTATTTATCACTAGTTTAACGTGATATTATAATACTTTTTTTTTAAACACATATTAATAATTTTGTTTTTGTTTCGTGATTCAACAAAAAAACAAAACGCCATTGACGTCATAAGTCAATTTTATCTCATTTACACAAAGGTTCTTTAATTAGAAGTTTGCGCGAGTGAGTGAGCGAGTGAGTGAACGCAACTGGTGAATGAGTGTATGTACGTGGTTGGTATTGCTGAGTGAACGCAACTAGTGAGTGAGTGAGTGAACGCAACTGGTGAATGAGTGTATGTACGTGGTTGGTATTGCTGAGTGAACGCAACTAGTGAGTGAGTGAGTGAACGCAACTGGTGAATGAGTGTATGTACGTGGTTGGTATTGCTGAGTGAACGCACTTACTATTGTCATTCAAACACTCACTGAAATGAACTTCTCCAGTAGTTTAATGAACGCACTTTTTAATCACCCAAGCACACCTTTAACCACCTAAACACACCTTTAGTCACCAAAACGCACTCAATAATGGCCCAACCGCACCTTTAAACACCCAAACACACCTTTAACCACCCAAGCACACTTTATAATCACCCAAACACACCTTTAACCACCCAAACACACTTTATAATCACCCAAACACACCTTTAACCACCCAAACACACCCACTAACAGAGCTGCCAGGTGAGGTTTTAATTTATTTCAAAGCCTACGTTAGAATGTATCAGAACACAGGTGTACACGGAATAACACATTAGGACAATTTTTATAAACTTTTGATGACGTATTGGAGCGCCAGGCAGGCTTTTAAAGGGCTTCTGGAGGCCTTTATTTAAGTTATTTTATTGGTGTTATGTTATGTTATGTTATGTTTGTGTGTACTTTTTCATTTGTAATAATTATATTCTCTCTCTCTCTCATTTTGTTATTCATGTATGTATGTATGTATGTATGTATGTATGTATGTATGTATGTATGTATGTATGTATGTATTATTTTTCTGGGTTTTTATGTATTAAAAACTTTTCTTTACACGTAATTCAAAAAAAGTTGTACAAACAAAAATCTTTGTTATGACTCTTGTACGAATTTATCCGTTCAGTCGTAAACAAGATTCTTACAACTTTTGTTTTGGTGGGTTTTGTAAATTGTTTTTCAACACATAACACAAAAAGGTTTAAACAAAAACTATTTACGTTAGAATTTTTGTGTAAGTTTATCCTCGTAACTGAGTGTTTTAAATAACAAACTTTTTTTTACACGAATATAAAACAAAAGTTAGATAAATAAAATCTTTGCTTCAGTCGTGTACAAAAGAATCTCATAATTAATATTGTTTTTGTACGTTTTCAGAAACAATGGAATAGATTTATTTCCTCATAATGCTGTGTAAATAACATAAAAATAAAAGCTTTACATTTATTTCCATTATAATTCTAATACAAGTTTTTCTCACATCTATTATTTCTCGCATTTTTTTTTAAATAATAACAAACCTTTTATTTTTCGTCCACATAATAACAAAAGGCACATCAACAAAATATTCAACTACTTTTATTTATGTTTTGTACCAGTTCCGGACTTTTGGTGACTATAAATAATAAACTTTTTTTTTTATTTCAGGTCCGGACTTCTGGGGACTGATCAACCCTGACTGGAGTTTATGCAGTAAGGGTCGCCGGCAGTCACCCATCGACATAGACCCGGCCAGGCTGCTCTATGACCCCAACCTACGTCTTCTGCATATTGACAAACACAGGGTCAGTATCTCCGTGTTGTGGCCTAGTTACAGTCAAACCTCTATATAACGGACTATATGGAGGGGAAAATCCGTTATATCGAAGGTCTTTTAGATATGAAACCTCCATTTAATGAATTATATATAGAGATGAAAGTCCATTATATCGAGGGTCCGTTAGATGTGAAACCCCCATCTAATATATTATATGGCGACAGAAGTCCGTGTGTGTGTGTGTGTGTGTGTGTGTGTGTGTGTGTGTGTGTGTACAGGTATACTCCAGATAACTAACACCTGTCCTTACTCCGTACACAGGTATCGGGTTACCTTCAGAACACAGGACACAGTGTGGTGCTGACCCTGGACGGAGGCAAGATCCCGCTCAACGTGACGGGCGGACCTCTCTCTTATCGCTACCAGCTGACCGAGGCGCACCTCCGCTACGGCGTCGTCGACCTCCTGGGCTCTGAGCACACCATCAACGGTAGAGCCTTCCCTGCTGAGGTACGTAGAACCCTGTTGAGCTATTTACAGCCTTTTTAAGATATAATTAGAGCTCCGTTGGGGTATTTAGAGCTTTCCTGGGGGTTATTGGAGCTCTGATGAGGTGTTTAGAGTCCAGTTGAAGTAATTAATGCCCTACTAAGGTAATTAATACTCTACTGAGGTAAGTAGAGCCCGATTGAGGTGATAAGGGCTCTGGTGAGGTAATAGAGCCCATTAAGGTAATTAGATCCGTGGTGAGGTATTTAGAGCCCTGATGAGGTAGAGTACCAGAGAGATCCTGTTTCCGCTTTCAGTGATTTATCTCCCTCCCTCCCTCCCTCCCTCTGTGATGCCTCCACTTGTCACGTCAGAAGGGAGAGGGGAGAGAGAGAGGGGTGAGAAAGGAGAGTGAGAGGTGGGAGGGGAAAGTAAGAGGGGTGGAAGATGAGAATGAGAGGGATGGGAGGGGGGAGAGGGAGGGAGGGTGTGAGGGGAGGGAGCAAGGGAGAGGGGGTGGAAGGGAGAGTATTTTTTGAGAGAGAGGAGAGAGAAAGGGGGTTTAGAGAGGAGAGTGAGAGGGGTAGGAGGGGAGAATGGGAGGAGTGGGAAGGAATAGAGAGAGTAAAAGGAAGGTGAAGGAATAAAAAGAAAAACAGTGAGAGATAATTAGGATAATTAGGGGGAGAGGGAATAGCGAGAAGAGAGGAGAATTTGAATGAAGGTGGAAGAGAGAGGAGAGTTAGAGTGGAAGACGAGGGAGAGTGAGAGAAGAGAGGAGAGGTGAGGGAAGAGAGAGGGAGAGGTGAGGGAAGAGAGGGAGAGGTGAGGGAAGAGAGGAGAGGTGAGGGAGAGGTGAGGGGGAGGGAGGGGAGGGGAGGTGAGGGAAGAGAGGGAGAGGTGAGGAGAGGTGGGGAAGAGAGGAGAGGTGAGGGAAGAGAGAGGAGAGTTAGAATGGAAGACGAGGGAGAGTGAGAGAAGAGAGGGAGAGTGAGAAGAAGAGAGGGAGGGGAGAGGAGAGAGGGAGGTGAGGGAAGAGAGGGAGAGTGGAGAGGAGAGAGGGAGAGGTGAGGAAGAGAGGGAGGTGGAGAGGAGAGAGGGAGAGGTGAGGGAAGAGAGGGAGGTGAGGGAAGAGGGAGGAAGTGGAGAGGAGAGGGAGGTGAGGAGAAGAGAGGGAGAGTGGAGAGGAGAGTTAGAATGGAAGTAGGGAGAGTGAGAGAGGAGAGGGAGTGGAGAGGAGAGAGAGAGGTGAGGGAAAGAGGGGAGAGTGGAGAGGAGAGGGAGAGGTGAGGAAGAGAGGGAGAGTGGAGAGGAGAGAGGGAGGTGGGGAAGAGAGGGAGAGTGGAGGAGAGAGGGAGGTGAGGGAAGAGAGGTAGGGTGAGGGAAAAGGGGAGGTGAGGGAAGAGGAGAGTGAGAGAAGAGAGGAGAGGTGAGGAAGAGAGGAGAGTGGAGAGGAGAGTTAGAATGGAAGTAGGGAGGTGAGAGAAGAGAGGGAGGTGAGGGAAGAGAGGAGAGTGGAGAGGAGAGTTAGAATGGAAGACGAGGGAGAGTGAGAGGTAGAAGGAGACGAGAGGGAGAGAGCAGTAATGACTCTGCTTTTGAAATGTTTTATGAGGTTTGTGACAAGACTTTTAATGACCTCTAGTTCATCATGGCCTAACCTACCCAACCAACCTAACCTAACTACCTAACCTAACCTAGCCTAGCCACTAACCTAACCTAACCTAACTTAACTTAACTAACCTAATCATTGTTGTCTGAGATTCGTGTCTTTGGTTTACTGAAGATTAAAAAGGTAACATGGAGGTGTGTGTGTGTGTGTGTGTGTGTGTGTGTGTGTGTGTGTGTGTGTGTGTGTGTGTGTGTGTTAATGATCGAGTGGATACAACGCTCGCCTCCTGCTCCAGGGGTCGTTGGTTCGATTCCCGGGTGCTGCTAGTTCACCCAGCTGTAAATGGGTAGGCCTACCTAAGTTTACAACATGGGGAAGTGGATGTGGTCGAGTGCAGTACCGGCCATGCTGCCTCCTTGTGTACCGAAGGCTTAGTATACAGTGCGGTGTATCTAACGGGTGTAGTCATGCTTATGGGACCCAGTTTTACTTTACACACACACAAACACACTAGTGACATATACTACACACACACACACACACACACACACACACCACACACACACACACACACACACACACACATTTTTTTGGGGGTGGGGGTTCTTTTGAGGTTGTACAATTAATATTCATTTTCAAATCAGTATTCAAAGAGTTATAAAAATTTAAAAACGTTGCCTCTAACAATTTAGCTCGACCGTCACGTTTGTACTGTAAAAAAAAATGTTAGTTACGATTTTTAGGGTAAAGATTAATAAAAAAAATACCACTACTAAATAATATTGGTGGATGTATGGGAATATTTGGTTGATTTTTGTGTATTTGTATGGTTGTATATTTTTTTTGGGGGGGCTGGGGGAGGGCCTTGTGTATGAGTATTTATTCATTTTAATGTTGTATGTAGAATTTGTGATTGTAGAATATTTTCTTCATACAGATCATTTTTGGGGGTTTGGTTTATATGTCGGGTATTTTATGTTGTATCTTATTAATCTGATGGAAAATGGTTGGTAGTTTTCACCTTATTTGTTGATGTCGTGTGTGTGTGTGTGTGTGTGATGATATACATATGTACAATGCATCTCTCTCTCTCTCTCTCTCTCTCTCTCTCTCTCTCTCTCATGCGGTCACCTCGTGGGTCGTGTTGATACATATTCGTCTCTTATTAAGATGTTGGGTGGAGGTCGCCAGCACCTCCCTCCCTCCCTCTATCTCCTTCTCTCTCTTCTCTCTCTCTCTCTCTCTCTCTCTCTCTCTCTCTCTCTCTCTCTTTCCTTTTCTCTCCTTTCCTCCCAATTCTCACATTATCCTCTGGGACACACACACACACACACACACACACACACACACACACACACACACACACACACACAAGAATGTTTTATGTAGACATCGTCCAGTCTAACCCAAATGACCCAGTGACCTTTAACCCCTCCCACGCCACCCCCTCACATTCCCACACACCCCCACCTTCCCACACCTCCCACACCTCCTACACCTTCCCACACACCCTCCACACTCCCTACACCTTCCCACACCCTCCCACACACCCCTACACCTTCCCACACCCTCCCACACCTCCCACACCTTCCCACACCCTCCCACACTCCCCTACACCTTCCCACACCCTCCCACACACCCCTACACCCTCCCACACTCTCCCACGAGGTCACGGATCGAAAATAACAAATCACTTGACCTTATTCAACCATCATTTATTTTGTTTCAGGAATAATTGAACAGAAAGTGTTTGTACAGAGGTTAAGCGTTAAGTGAACAGCGTTAAGTGTTAAGTGAACAGCGTTAAGTGTTAAGTGAACAGCGTTAAGTGTTAAGTATACAGCGTTAAGTGTTAAGTATACAGCGTTATGTGTTAAGTGAACAGCGTTATGTGTCAAGTGAACAGCGTTGTGTGTTAAGTGAACAGGGATTAAGCGAGGCGGGTTTATTATTGAACAGGAGCAACGTTACTAGTGGAGTTCCCCAAGGCTCAGTACTTGGACAATTATTATTTATTACATACATAAACGACATAGATATCGGCATAGACAGCAACATAAGTAAATTTGCTGATGGCACTTAAATAGGACGTGTTATTAAATCTGACGAGGATTCCGCAAAACTACAGGAAGATCTAAACAAATTTTTCGAATGGTCTGAAATATGGCAGATGAAATTCAACGTGGACAAATGTAAAGTACTCAGTATAGGAGATGTAAACAGGGAAACCAGTTACCAGATGAACAACGATGCCATAGAGAAATCCGACTGCGAGAGAGATTTAGGAATAATGATAAGTAGGAACCTTAAGCCAAGTAAACAATGTGTATTTGCTCGAAACAAGGCTAATAAAGTACTTGGGTTCATACAAAGGAGTGTTAGTTACAAGACTAGCGAGGTCATCTTACGATTATATCTTGTACTTGTGAGACCTCACCTGGATTACGCAGTTCAGTTCTGGTCACCGTATTACAGAATGGATATAGAATCCTTGGACAGAATTCAGAGGAGAATGACAAGACTAATCCCGGGCATTAGGAACCTTGAGTACAGAGACAGGTTAAAGCATCTTAATTTGCACTCCTCGAGAGACGTAGAGTGAGGAGCGACATGATCGAGGTGTATAAATGGAAGTCAGGGCTAAACAAAGGGACATTACAAGGTACTCAAACTTTCCAACCAGGAGCGAACTCGGAACAATGTTTTTACATTAGACAAATTTAGATTTAGGCGCGAAACAGGTAAACACTGGTTTGGAAACAGAGTAGTGGATGAATGGAACAAGTTACCAAATATCATCATTAACTCGAATACGCTGGATAGCTTCAAACATAGGTTGGATGCTCATATGAGCAATAGGGGTTGGGTGTAAACAGGTCTGCCCAGTGTGGGCCAATAGGCCCGCTGCAGTTTCCTCCATTCTTATGTTCTTATGTTCTTATGTTCTTATGAACAGAAAGTGAGTTATTAGTGTGAAATGAGTAATTAGTGAATAGAAAGTGTGCTATTAAGTGTTAAGTGCAGTGGGTTCTGAAGCGCAGTGAGCTATTAAGTATAGCAAGCTATTAAGTGTAAATAAATGAATGGTGTATGGAGCAATCAAATTAGCATGAACCATAAATAAGCTTGAGCAATAAACTAAGCTGCCCTCCACTCTTCGTGTACAACCTAACCTAACCTAACCTAACCTAACCTAACCTAACCTAACCTAACTAACAATCAAGTATGAGCTGTGAGCAATAAACAGTGAGCCATAAATTAAGCTGTGAACAGTAAACTATGAACCGTAAATTAAGCTGTGAGCCACAAACTAAGCTGTGAGCCATAAAGTGTGATCCATAAATTAAGTTGTGAGCCATAAACTGAGAACCATAACTTAAGCTGTGATTCATTAACTAAGCTGTGAGCCATAAACTGTGAACCATAAACTAAGCTGTGAGCCATAAACTATGAGCCATAAATTAAGCTGTGAGCCATAAACTAAGCTTCTCTCTCCCTTCATCACCCAAACAGATCCAACTCTTCGGCTTCAACTCTCAACTCTACGCCAACTTCTCCCAAGCGCTCGACAAGGCGTACGGCATCGTCGGCATCTCTCTCCTTCTGCAGGTGGGTGTTGTGGCATCTCTCTCCTTCTGCAGGTGGGTGTTGTGGCATCTCTCTCCTTCTGCAGGTGGGTGTTGTGGCATCTCTCCTTCTGCAGGTGGGTGTGGCATCTCTCTCCTTGCAGGTGGGTGTTGTGGCATCTCTCCTTCTGCAGGTGGGTGTTGTGGCATCTCTCTCCTTCTGCAGGTGGGTGTTGTGTACTGCTGCTGGGAGACAGACAGATACCCAGACAGACAGACAGACAAACAGACAGACAGACAGGCAAACAGACAAACTGATAGGCAGAGAGACAGACAAACAGACAAACAGATAGACAAACAGACAGACAGATAGACAAACAGACAGACAGACAGACAGACAAACAAACAGATAGAGGGTAGATAGATAGATGGATAGATACATTGATACATAGATAGATAGATAGATAGATAGATAGATAGATAGTCACTAATGAACTCACACACACACACACACACACACACACACACACACACACACACACACATATACAGTAATCATAAAGTATTCATACCTTTAATTAAGGAACCTGGCTCATTCAGAATACCTTTACTATTTAAACAGCGAAAAGGATAATAATGTTAGTGCATTGTTGTCCCCGCCAGGTGCAACACGAGTTGATTAAATGTTGCTTACCTGTCCTCCATTAGTATAGAGGAGAGAACTGAGTAATTATCATTTTCATTAAGACTGATGGAAAGTACTATAATGATAATGTTTATGGAGACAACAACAACAACAACAACAACAACAACAATAACAATAATAATAATAATAATAATAATAATAACAAATGTAATAATAATAATAATAATAATAATAATAATAATATAATAATAATAATAATAATCACTAGCAGCATCAAAAGCTCTCATTTGACTTAATAATTTTCACAGGTCAAGAAATAACCCATTGACCTTCCTTCAGGTAGACTGGGAGGCAGGTCATGCAGGTCAAAAGCAGGCCAGGTAGGCAGAGAGGCGGGTCACAAGTAGGTTAGAGAGGCAGGTCAGGCAGACAGGTCAGGTAGGGAAGCCGAGAGTGAAATCAGGCAAGCAGGTCAGAAGTAGGTCAAGGAGGTAGGTCAGGCAGGCAGGCAGGCAGGTCGGTCAGGCAGGTCACAACGCCGCGGGTGAGAGTTAACTTGGAAAGCAATTGGAATTAAATTTACTAGGCGGCAACTGAGCGTATCTGACCCGGTGTTGCCGCCACCTCTTATTTAATATTTATTTTTATATATATTTTTTCAATTTTTTCTTTCTTGCCAACATTCCTGAGAGAGAAAAATAGTAACTCAAGTGTTTTCATATTTTATCTTTTTTCTGTGGATTAGACATATATTTTTTTAAACTGGATAAATATATTTTTTTCGATTTTTGGCTCGAAAATATTGGTTATATATATTTTTCTATAGAGTAAAACTTAATATATTTTCCTAATTTTAATGTTTCTACATTAGTTTTTAATATTATATTCATTAAAAAAAATATATTACTTATTTTCATTTATTTTCTACGATATTTGGAATTTATTCTAAAATCATCCAATTACTAAAATAACTAAACAACACAGACATAAGGAAAAACAAAGACAAATACGAAATTATTAAAACAAATACGTAAATGAGAAACAAAAGCAAAACAAAGACAATACCCAGACAAAGAATGAAGAAAACTCACTGAATGAAAGAAGAAAGAAGAGAAATACTGGATAAACAGAACTAATAATAACAGTAAACAGAGATAGAAGTTACAGAAGAGAACCAACTCTCTCGTTTTACTCTGAAGGAACAGAAAATAATACAAAACTACAGGAAAAAATACATGAACAGATACAGATGAAGAGAGAGAGGTGGCCTTGTGCTGTAGTCCGATTTGTATTTGCATCTGTTGACAGCTGTTGATATTGTGTTGTGGTGCAGGGCTGTAATTGTAACGTCTGTCCCCTCACATGTACCCTCACCTGTAACACTTGTACCCTCACCTGTAATATTTATACTCCCACCTGTAACACTTGTACCCTCACCTGTAACACTTTTAACCTCACCTGTAACACTTGTACCCTCATCTGTAACACCTGTACCCTCACCTGTACTCTCACCTGTACTCTCACCTGTAACACTTGTACTCTCACATGTACTCCCACCTGTACCCTCACCTGTAATGCCTGTACCCTCACCTGTAACATCTGTACCCTAATCTGTACCCTAACATGTACCCTAACCTGTACTCAGGGACACCGAGAGGGCGGGAAAGCCTGGATAAATCCCCGGGGGCCGGGCCTCTAGGGGGGGCCAAAGAAAGGGCGATATAAATATAAATATATCTGTAAGGGGCCCTTAAATTTATCTTTCCCGAGGCCTACACCCCCCTTACCCCCGCCCCCACCTCCTCCCACCACCCCACCCTTACCACCACCACCCTCACCACCACCACCCTCACCAACCCCCCACCCTTACCACCCCCACCCTTACCACCCCCAACCCTTACCATCACCAACCCCCACCCTTACCACCACCACCCTCCTACCACCACCCTTACCATCCCCTTACCATCCACCACCCCCCATCACCACCCCTCCCTACCACCACCCACCACCCCACCCTTACCATCACCACCCCCCCCACTACCACCCTTACCACCCCCACCCCTTACCACACCACCTCCACTACCACCCTTACCACCCCCCACCCACCATCCCCCCACCCTTACCACCCCCACCCTTACCACCCCACCCACCACCCCACCTTAACATCACCACCCCCACCCCTACCATCACCACCCCACCCTTACCACCCCCACCCCTATCACCACCCCCACCCTTACTACCACCCTTACCACCCCCACCCTTACCATCACCACCCCCACCATCACCACCCCACCCTTACTACCACCCCTTACCACCCCCACCCTTCATCCACCACCCCCACCCTTACCACCCCACCCCCCACCACCCCCACCCTTACCACCCCCACCCCTCACCCCACCCTTACCACCCCCACCCATTCCCCCACCCTTACCATCACCACCCCCACCCTTACCACCCCACCCTTACCATCACCAACCCACCTTTACCACCCCCACCCTTACCACCCCACCCTTACCATCACCAACCCCACCCTTACCATCACCACCCCACCCACCACCCCACCTTACCACCCCACCCTTACCACCCCACCCTTACCATCACCAACCCACCCTTACCATCACCACCCCACCCTTACCACCCCCCCCACCATCACCACCCCACCCACCACCCCCACCCACCACCCCACCCTTACCACCCCCACCCTTACCACCACCCCCCACCCTTACCACCCCACCCTCCACCCCACCCTTACCACCCCCACCCTTACCATCACCACCCCACCCCTCACCACCCACCCACCACCCCCACCCTTACCATCACCAACCCACCTTTACCACCCCCACCCATACCACCCCACCCTTCCATCACCACCCCACCCTGTCACCACCCCCACCCTTACCACCCCCACCACCACCCCCACCCCCACCCCACCATACCACCACCCATACCACCCCCACCCATACCATCACCACCCCCACCCACCACCCCCACCCTTCCATCACCCACCACCCCACCCTCCACACCCCACCTTCACACCCACCTACCACCCCACCCTTACCACCCCCACCCCCCACCCCACCCTACCACCCCACCCCACCATCACCACCCCCCCACCACCCCCACCCCCTCATCACCACCCCACCCTACCACCCCACCCTTACCACCCCCCACCCTTACCACCCCCACCCCTCCATCACCACCCCAACCCACCACCTCCCCACCCTTACCACCCCAACTTACCACCCCCACCCCACCATCACCACCCCCATTCCCCACACCCCACCCATCACCCCACCCTACCATCACCAACCCCACCCTTACCATCACCACCCCACCCTTACCATCACCACCCTTACCATCACCACACCCTACCATCACCACCCTACCATCACACCCCACCACCCCCACCCTTACTATCTAATCTTACCATCACCACTACCCAACCCTTACCACCCCCACCCTACCACCCCCAACTTACTATCCAACCCTTACTAATTCCAACCTTACCAATCCCACTCACTCCCTACCACCCCCACCCTTACCATTCACCACTCTTACCACCCCCATTCCCACTACCCCCACCCTGCTCATTCCCCCCTTACCATCACCAACCCCACCCTTACCATCACCACCCCACCCTTACCATCACCACCCTTACCATCACCACCCTTACCATCACCACCCCTTCCATCACCACCACAGTTGACAGTCATCCACAACTGACAGAAAACAGTTTTGTTCTATTATTTAAATTGGCCCATGAATATGTATGTTGTCCAACCCCGCCCACCGCCGCAACTCCCTGCCCTGCCCCACTCTGCCCTGCCCCACCCCTGCCCTGCCCCACCCCACCCCTGCTCCACCCCACCCTGCCCACCCCACCGCCCCACCCCACCCCACCCCACCCTGCCCCACCCCACCCTGCCCAAACCCCACCCTACCCAAACCCACCCTGCCCTGCAAGCCTGCCTGCCCCCCTCCTGCCCAGCCACGCCCCACCCAGCCGTGCCCCACCCAGCCGCGCCCCACCCAGCTGTGCCCCACCCAGCCGTGCCCCACCCAGCCGTGGCCCCCACCCAGCTCCTCCGCCCCACCCAGCCCTGCCCCACCCAGCCCTGCCCCACTCAGCCCCTGCCCAGCTCTCTGCCTGTCCAGCCTCGCTCCCTGCCAGGCCCCTGGCCCAGCCCTGCCCCTGCCCAGCTGTCGTCTGCCCTGCCCTGGCCTGCTCTGGCCCTGCCCCCTGCCTGCCCCTGCCCTGCCTGCCCCCACTCCCCTCGCTCTCTTTTAGCCCACCACCAGAAGTCAAAAATTTGTTTATTGCATCATCTCTCACACACAATGATTTATATCATACTGCCTCTATCTACAGATCGGGAACGTCTCTCTCTCTCTCTCACACAATACTAACCACACCGCTCTCTACCCACAGATCGGTGAACGTCTCTCTCTCTCTCTCGTAATACCTAACCACACCGCCTCTACCCACAGATCGGTGAACGTCTCTCTCACACAACACTAACCACACCGCCTCTACCCACAGATGGTGAACGTCTCACACACAACACTAACCACACCGCCTCTACCCACAGATCGGTGAACGTCTCTCTCTCTCTCTCACACACAAACCCTCACACCGCCTCTACCCCCAAGTCGGTGAACGTCTCTCTCTCTCACACACTAACCACACCGCCTCTACCCACACGATCGGTGAACGTCTCTCTCTCTCACAACACTAACCACACTGCCTCTACCTAAGATCCTCTCTCTCTCTCACACACACACATTAACCACACCGCCTCTACCCACAGATCGGTGAACGTCTCTCTCTAACACTCTCACCACACCGCCTACCCACAGATCGGAATCTCTCTCTCTCTCTCTCACACACACAACACCAACCACACCGCCTCTACCCACAGATCGGTGAACGTCTCTCTCTCTCTCTCTCACACAACACTAACTCATCTGCCTCTACCCACAGATCGGGAACGTCTCTCTCTCTCACACAACACTAACCACACCGCCTCTACCCACAGATCGGTGAACGCTCCAACCCGGCCCTGAGTCAACTGACGGCAGGTGTTGACAAGATTAAAGTGTGTCCTCCCCCCCTAGCGTTCTTTTCTAGACCTACCCTGAGTCCCTGAGGCTAAGGAGTTCCTGAGTCATTAGTTGAGTCCTTCTGAGTCCTTGTGTTGTTATGGGTGTTGATGGGGCACCCATTCAACATATTCACTTTTTATATCAGCTTCTGTAGCTATTCTGATCTCTCTCTCTCTCTCTCTCTCTCTCTCTCTCTCTCTCTCTCTCTCTAATAATCTTTGTCTGTCTCTCATTGTTTCTCACTGGATCTATCTCTTCATATCTTACATTGTCTCTTATTTCTGGTTAAGTGTCATCGTTTTGTCTGACGTCATAGGCTAATGACGTCACGGGTTCTTGAACTAGGCTGTTACCGTGGAAAGTTTAACAAGCGTAATATTAATGATGTAGCACTAAGAGGTCACTACCTAATGACCTGACCTCTATGACGTACCTGTATGTGTGTGTGTGTGTGTGTGTGTGTGTGTGTGTGTGTGTGTGTGTGTGTGTGTGTGTGTGTGTATATATAAAGGTGAATTTATTCTGCCTTTTCCACAACTATTGCATTTTTTTCCATTTAAATCGTAATCATAGTGTGAATAAACCCACATTTCTTCCCCCCCACGGTATAATGACGAAGCTTCACATCAAATGGTTCAGTTTATGGGCCCATCATTAAGAGGGGACACTACGATATTTTAAGGACATTAAAGACGTTGTATTTCTTCAATCGCGGTAATTATAGCGTTTGTTGTGCCCCCCTCTGGAAACACACACACACACACACACACACGCACCACCACACACAAACTCACACACACACACACCATACACACACACACACACACACACACGGTCGACCCTTGCAATTAATATATAAGGCGGAGTTGAGATGATGAGACTGAGAGAGGTGTGGAGGGAGATGGTGAGAGATAGGTGAGAGGAGGGAGGAGGAGGGATAGGGATGAGAGGGAGGGAGGGAGGGAGGATAGGGATGAGAGGAGGGAGGAGGGAGGAAGGAGATAATGGGGGTGAGATAAGTGAGAGATGGATGAGAAGAAAGATGCGTACAGGGAGAAAAGAGATAGTGAAGAAATAGGAATGAGATAAATAAAGTGAGAGAGAGAGAGAGAAGAAGATGTAATAATTATCAAAAGAGCGAGATGGGAAAGTGAGGATAAGAATGACAGAATTAGGAGATAGAGAAAAGGAGAAGAGAGATACTAGTTACGAGTTGAGTGTGTGTGTGTGTGTGTGTGTGTGTGTGCGCTTGGCGTTTGTGTGTGTGTGGTTTGTGTGTGTGTGTGTGTGCGGCGTTTGTGTGTGTTGTGTGCGTGTGTGTGTGTGTGTGTGTGTGTGTGTGTGTGTGTGTGTGTGTGTGGGTTTGTGTGTGTGTGCTTGGCGTTTGTGTGTGTGTGTGTGTGCTTGGCGTTTGTGTGTGTGTGTGTGTGTGTGTGTGTGTGTGTGTGTGTGTGTGTGCTTGGCGTTTGTGTTATTATTGTGTGTGTTAGCAGCGTGTGTGTGTGTGTGTGTGTGTGTGTGTGTGTGTTGCGTTTGTGTGTGTGTGTGTGTGTTATGACCTGGTAAACTGTGTGTGTGTTGTGTGTTTGAGCGTGTGTGTGTGTGTGTGTGTGTGTGTGTGTGTGTGTGTGACAGCCAAAACATCGACCAATTCACAACTGTTACGCGGGGAAAATGAGAAACAGATGAACTTGTAACAACACAACGGTAATATATTTTTTTTTGGAGGAGTCAATTTTTTCCCACATAACGGAATTATAACTGTCCTGAGATTTTGGGCACAACTTGTGCATCAAAGACCTCTCTCCCCTCCCCTCCCCTCCCTAAATGACTCGCTGCCACTCATGACTCACACCGCCACCGTGACTCACTGACTCACACCGCTACCAACTAACTCACTGCCCTCTATTCCTGCTCCACCACCAAATTGACTCCACTGCCACTCACTGATTCACACCACCATCAACTGACTCACTGACTCACACCACCATCAACTGACTCACTTATTCATTTTCAATACGGTTACTCACAAAATTAATCTCCTGAAACGATATTTTTCCATCGATTGACCAGACACGCGATAGATATTGACGAGTTGATGACGTAGATGATAGATGTTGACGAGTTGATGACGTAGATGATAGATGTTGACGAGTTGATGACGTAGATGATAGATGTTGACAAGTTGATGACGTGATGATAGATGTTGACAGTTGATGACGTAGATGATAGATGTTGACGAGTTGATGACGTAGATGATAGATGTTGACGAGTTGATGACGTAGATGATAGATGTTGACGAGTTGATGACGTAGATGATAGATGTTGACGAGTTGATGACGTAGATGATAGATGTTGACGAGTTGATGACGTAGATGATAGATGTTGACGAGTTGATGACGTAGATGATAGATGTTGACTTTTTCAGCAAAACAAAAGAAATATTCAACGAAAATGTCAACAAAGCAAAACACACACACACACACACACACACACACACACACACACACACACACACACACACACCGTATTATTTTAACATTGTATTGAAGAAATTGACCAAACGGATGTGACACAGGGGCAGCGGCCGAGGTCATAACCAGGTGACAGATGACTGCCCATAACGCTTGACCTATTATGAATGACAATAAACAGATAACAGGTGACAAGTGGACAACGAGTAAGGTTTAGAAGCAACAATGGTGACCTGTTATGTTAGGGAGGGGGACATCAAGAGAGACTATAGAGATATTGTTGTTGTCTTGTTAGTGAGAGATAGAGTGAGAGAATGAGAGATAGAGTGAGAGAAAGATAGAGATACACGGAGAGAGAGCCAGAGAGTTAGACAAAGTGGGAGAAAGAGATAGACGGAGAGACGTACAGAAAAGGAGACAATAGATTAAATTCAGAATCAAACTGCATGGAGAGAGGTGATATTCATAACAACTGACACTCCAAACAATCGTCTCCTCTCTCTCTCTCTCTCTCTCTCTCTCTCTCTCTCTCTCTCTCTCTCTCTCTCTCTTTCTTTCTCTCTCTCTCTCTCTCTCGTGTTAAGACTGTAATATTACACCATATGGACCTATAAACATAGGTTAGGTTATTTTAGTCTAGTCTAGTTCTCCTTTACTACCAAGTTAAGATGATAAAATAGGACTTCCAAGGACCAGGTCGCCAGGCCCTTCACGTATCACGGCAGGACTCCCAGGACCCTCATAGCCTCTCTGGTCAGGCAGTAGTGGGGCGAGGCTCATGAGAACTACCAATAATCCTTAACCTAACCTAACCTAACCTAACCTAACCTAACCTAACCTAACCTAACCTAACCTAACCCTCATCGTCTCTCTGGTCAGTGTTAAGATCTATCAATAATGCTCAACATAATCTCTTCCATCAGCCACAATATTGTCCCACAAAAACCTGAACGTAATTTAGATCAACATATATTTCCATTATTTATCGCCTTTTTTTCCCTCCCATAATCGGCTCACAATAATCCTCCCAAACGGATCTTTTTTGTTTGTTTTTTCACACGTAAAAAAAATAAAAGCTCTCAGTACGGTGTTGAATTGTCGAGTGATTAAAAAAAAAAAAGTCTGAATAAAATAATCTATACTGAGCCTTGTGTGGTATAGTCATTAAGGTCATTATCGCTTTTAACCGTAAATGAATTCCGGCCAAAATGCTGAGATTTGGCGCTAAAATGATCAGTTAAAACGAGAGGGATCATATGACAGGTGGTATTTGAATCACAGCTCGAGCGCTGATTGGCCGAGCTGCCAAACTGACACAAAAGATAGTTAGCTGTGAATGGCTATTAATTAGTGGAGGCATTTGATGTATTTTTTTTAGCTGTTATTCAGATAGGTCTGCCCCCTCCCCACCCCAAATTGTGTTATACATAACAGTGATAAATAAAAAAATATACACACGTACATAGAGTGTAAGTCTCACACCATACATACATACATACGTACACGGCCAGAGTTAAGTAAAGCGTATATTATTATTATTTGTGAGGGTATGGATGACGTCACTCCTCGCTCAGCTGGTCGACAATAACAGCAGCTAGAGCGTGACACGATGACGTCATATTGTCTGAACCAATTACCAGTCCACATCGTTTAATATACAGTATATATAGATATTCTCTCTCTCTCTCTCTCTCTCTCTCTCTCTCTCTCTCTCTCTGCCTTTTATTATTCACTTCCATATACATTTTGTCTCGTTATGTCGTCATTGTTGGTGGTGACGATGTCTGTCTCTGTCTGTCTGTCTCTGTCTGTCTGTCTGTCTCTGTCTGTCTGTCTGTCTGTCTGTCTGTCTGTCTGTCTGTCTGTCTGCCTGTCTGTCTGTCTGTCTGTCTATCTATCTATCCAAAACTATAAACACTTTTTTAAAATGTTTTTAATTATGCCCTAATGGCTCTTGGTGTGCGTGACCAGCTCTATGAACGCCTGTCTTGACTGAGAGATAATATCCCTCCCTTTCCCTTCCGCTCGTGATGCGCCGCCGCCACGGACGACTCTCTGCCGCCCTTGATTTATATACTTTAGCTGTATATATAATTCTACTTGTATAGCTTGAACTATCACCATGGCCACCACAGCTAAATAACCCCAACTCTTTTATCCCCACAGCTAAAATCAACCCCTTCACTTACACCCACAGCTAAAATCAACCCATTTACTTATCCCTACAGCTAAAAACTACCTCCACAGCTAAAAACAACCTCCATCACATACTCCCAAGGTAACCAAGTGCAAGACTCCCTTCCTCCTCCCCTTCCTCTACCACCTCCTCTTTCTCCTCCTCCATCTCCTCCCCTTCTCCTCCCCCACCACCCCACCCCCTCCTCCTCCTCATCCTCCTCCTCCCCTTTCTCCTCCTCCTCCTCCTCCTCCTCCATTTCCCCCCTTGGTAATTAACTCATCACCTGACGTACCCCCGCAGGTGAGCAGTATAATGTGCACCACCTGAGCATCCATGACCTACTGCCGCCGACCTCCTACTACATGACCTACGAAGGCTCCACCACTATGCCAGCCTGCCATGAGACGGTCACCTGGGTTCTCGTTAACAAGCCCATCTACATCACAAAACAACAGGTAAGGGGCTGCTGGAGGGGGGGAGGGGCAAGGGTAAAGGGCAAGGGGAGGGGAAGGGATAAGGGGGGCAAGGGGAGGAGGAAAGGCAAGGATGAAGGGCAAGAGGGAGGAACAAGGGAGATGGAAAGGGTGAGAAGGGGAGGGAACCGAGGTGAAGGAGCAAGGCTAGGGGCAGGGGTGAGGGGCAAGGGGTGAGAAGGGAGCAATAGTGGGAAAGGAAGGACTGGAAGAGGGGGGGGAGACAAGAGTGAAGGACAAGAGAAGGGGGAAGGGGGGAGAGGGGAGAGGTGTGAGGAGGACAGTGAAGGACAAAGGGGAAGGAAAAGAGTAAGGGGCAATGAAAGGGGGGAAGGGGAAGGGATGAGAAGGTGATGCAAGGAGAGGAGGAGTGATCAGAAGGGGTAAAAGACAGTAGAAAGGGCAAGGAGGGGGCAAAAGGGGAGGAAAGGGGAAAGGGTAAGGAGGGGGCAAGAGGAAAGGGCAAGGAGGCGGTCAAGAGTTAAAGATTAAAAGGTAGTGCAGGAGGAGGGGCAAGGGGGCTAGGAGGGTGTGCTTGTAGGACGGGCAAGGGGGCTAGGAGGGTGTGCTTGTAGGAGGGGCAAGGGGGCTAGGAGGGTGTGCTTGTAGGACGGGCAAGGGGGCTAGGAGGGTGTGCTTGTAGGAGGGGCAAGTTGTTATGCGCTCCTACACGAGTGAGTGGAGGAGAGCTGTTAGAGGTTTGAGAGTGAGAGAGTTCCCTTAGAGTAGGAGAGAGAGAGAGAGAGAGAGAGAGAGAGCAGTGGGTGGGGAAGGAATGTTGAAGGCTACCAATTCGACATTCTCAGTTCTTCATTCACTATTTACCTTATCTCCAGTTAACCCAGACCCTCTCATTCAGTTCTCTTTACCCAGGTTCCCACTACTACCACCAGATCTCTCTACCAGGTCCTACTACGGTCATACCACCACCACCAGGTCCATCACCACCCGGCCTTTCTGGGGTCTTTTTTACTGACCAGGTCTCACTACCAGGTCATACCACCACCACCACCACCAGGTCCTACACACCAGGTCTTTCCTGCTTACGGTCTTTACTGACCAGGTCTCACTACCCAGTCTCACCTGCACCAGGTCCTACCACAGTCTTTCTGCCCGGTCTTTTTTACTGACCAAGTCTCCTACGGTCACGCCTACCACCACCACCAGAGTCTTTCTGCAGTCTTTACTGACCAGGTCTCCTGCAAGTCCTACCACCTACCAAGGTCCTACCACCACCAGGTCTTTCTGCCCGGTCTTTTTACTGACCAGGTCTCACTACCAGGTCATACCACCACCACCAGGTCCCATCACCACCAAGTCTTACTAACCCGGTCTTTTACTGACCAGGTCTCACTACCAAGTCCTACCACCACCACCAGGTCCTACCACCACCAGGTCTTTCTACCTGGTCTTTTACTGACCAGGTCTCACTACCAGGTCATACCACCACCACCAAGTCTTACTACCAGGTCCAACCAACCAGATACCACATCCAGGTCTTCTTTATATTACCAACTCCTACTCCCAGGTCATGTTACCAGGTGTCATTACCAGGTCCTAATGAACTACCAGGTGCCACTACCAGGTCTTATCTATAAAACACTAAACAAACTTGGACTACTATACGACTCGTTAAGTAAACTGATCTATACTGTACTAGGGGGGGGGGGTAAACAACGAGGTAGAGCTGAGGTTTATTCCTTAACGTTTGAACACCACAATAATTAAATTCCTTAGAAATAACATGGCAACAGAAACAACAGGACAGCAGAAACAACAGAAACAAGAGTTTTAACCTGCCGGAGCGTGACGACCTCCCGTTACTCTGTTGTCTTCAGCTTTCTGAGGACGATCCTCCAGAAGTTGAAACGTTAAGGAATAATGTGTATCAGCAGGTGTAGAGCGACAGGTGTAACAGATGTAAAGCTACAGGTGTAGAAGATGTAGAGCCACAGGTGTAACAGATGTGGATCAACAGATGTAACAGATGTGCATTTATATATGTAACAGATGGAGAGCCACAGGTGTAACAGATGTGTCTCAATATATGTAAAATATGTAGAGCCACAGGTGTAACAGATGTAGGGCCACAGGTGTAACAGATATAGGGCCACAGGTGTAACAGATGTGGATCAACAGATGTAACAGATGTGCATTTATATATGTAACAGATGGAGAGCCACAGGTGTAACAGATGTGTATCAATATATGTAACATATGTAGAGCCACAGTGTAGTGTGTATCAATATATGTAACAGATGGAGAGCCACAGGTGTAACAGATGTGTATCAATATATGTAACATATGTAGAGCCACAGGTGTAACAGATATAGGGCCACACGTGTAACAGATGTAGAACCATAGGTGTAACAGATGTAGAGCCACAGGTGTAACAGATGTGGATCAACAGATGTAACAGATGTGTATTTATATATGTTACAGATGTAGAGCCACAGGTGTAACAGATATAGGCCACACGTGTAACAGAAGTAGAGCCACAGGTGTAGCAGATGTAGGGGCCTCAGGTGTAACAGATGTAGAGCCACAGGTGTAACAGATGTGGATCAACAGATGTAACAGATGTGTATTTATATATGTTACAGATGTAGAGCCACAGGTGTAACAGATATAGGGCCACACGTGTAACAGAAGTAGAGCCACAGGTGTAACAGATGTAGGGGCCTCAGGTGTAACAGATGTAGAGCCACATGTAGGGTTACATGTTTGACAGATGTAGAGGCAGATTCTTAACAGATGTGGGGCCACATGTTTGACAGATGTAGAGGCAGACCCTTTACAGATGTAGGGCTTCAGGTGTAACAGATGTAGAGCCACATGTTTGACAGATGTAGAGGCAGACTCTTTACAGATGTAGGGCCTCAGGTGTAACAGATGTAGGGTCACATGTTTGACAGATGTAGAGGCAGACTTTTAACAGATGTACAGCCTCAACTGTAACAGATGTAGGGCCACATGTTTGACAGATGTAGAGCCAGACTCTTAACAGATGTAGGGCCTCAGGTGTAACAGATGTAGGGCCACAGTTGTAACAGATGTGTAGCCACAGGTGTAACAGATGTAGAGCTACAGATGTAACAGTTATGGGGCCACATGTTTAACAGATGTAAAGGCACGGGTGTAGTAGATGTAGGGCCACATGTTTAACAGATGTAAAGGCCCAGGTGTAATAGATGTAGAGGTACAGTCTCGTTCAAGATTCTTCGAACACTGCTGAAGACATAAGGCAACTCAAGGCCGTTTGTTTACTGTAGTACGTAGTATAATATAATACGAAACAACAAAGCCCGACCATTAATTAAGCAACAGGGAACTAAGTAACCAATCACCGATAACCTTTTACATTCATTCATAATTTTTACTACGTATTTTAGTAAACAAACGGCCTAGAGTTGCCTTATGTCTTCAGCATTGTTCGAAGAATCTTGAACGAGACTGTACATGTGTAGCAGGTGCAGGAAGTAGGGTCAAAGGTGTAACAGGCGCAAGAGGGAGTAGAGAGACAGACGTAAAATAGATGTACCAGAGGTGTAACACAGATGTGAGAGAGATATTAACACAGATGTCGTCAACAGCTGTATGGTTTGAGGCAGCTGCGGCAGGGGGTAGAGGAGGGCCAGGAAGGAGCCCCTCTTGCTAACAACTTCAGACCGCCCCAGAAGCTTCACCACAGACCTGTCCGCACCAACATTGATTTCACCAACTCGGTAAGTAGTCATCCCTTACCCCTTACTCCCCTTAACTCTTACCATTATCACTTTCTTCTTAACCATTATCCCTTAACCCCCCTCTTACTCCCCTTAACTCTACCATTATCACCTTCACCATCATTATGTCTGCCATTATCACCTCCTCCATTATATCTACCATTATCACCTTCTCCACCATTATGTCTACCATTATCACCTCCTCCATTATATCTACCATTATCACATTCTCCACCATTATCTCTACCATAATCACCTCCATTATTGCTACCATTATCACCTTCTCCACCATTTTCTCTACCATTATCACCTCCACCATTATCTCTACCATTATCTCTGCCATTATCACCTTCTTCACCATTTTCTCTACCATTATCACCTCCACCATTATCTCCACCATTATCTCTACCATTATCACCTTCTCCACCATTATCTCTACCATTATCACCTCCCATGCCATAATTCTCCACCATAATTATTGCCATTATACTCATTATTATCCACCTTCTCCACCATATCACCTTCTCCACACATTTCTACCATATCACCTCCACCATTATCTCTACATTATCACATTCACCATATCTCTGCCATTATCACCTTCTCCACATTATCTCTACCATTATCTCTGCCATTATCACCTTCTCCACCATTTTCTCTACCATTATCACCTCCACCATTATCTCTACCATTATCACATTCACCATTATCTCTGCCATTATCACCTTCTCCACCATTATCTCTACCATTATCTCTGCCATTATCACCTTCTCCACCATTTTCTCTACCATTATCACCTCCACCATTATCTCCACCATTATCTCCACCATTATCACCTTCTCCACCATTTTCTCTACCATTATCACCTCCACCATTATCTCCACCATTATCTCTGCCATTATCACATTCTCCACCATTTTCTCTACCATTATCACCTCCACCATTATCTCTACCATTACCTCTATTATCTCACATCAATAACAAGTCGTACGACAATTTCTTCGCCAACTTCCGACACTCATAGGAATACACATATGACGTCACGCCATCTCCTAACGTCAAACACAATTTTAAGAGTAAATAAATTAATATAAAGCTAATTAGTGTTATATAATGACCAGAAACATCGTATATATTTGGTTTGTTGAATATAATTGATCTAGGTAAAATTATCTTGAGTTTCTTTGGAATTTTTATCATTATTGTGTAAGATTTGAGATCAATATATTATGGACATTATCATACATCGCCATCCCCTTATGTTCCGCAACCTAGTCACGTGATATTGTTTACGTTGAGAAAGTCACGTGACATTGTTGACATTAACAGGCTCACGTGATATTGTTTACGTTGAGAAAGTCACGTGACATTGTTGACATTAAGAGGCTCACGTGATATTGTTTACGTTGAGAAAGTCACGTGACATTGTTGACATTAAGAGGCTCACGTGATATTGTTTACGTTGAGAAAGTCACGTGATATTATTGACATTAAGAGGCTCACGTGACATTGTTTACATCAAGAGTCACGTGATATTATTGACATTAAGAGGCTCACGTGACATTGTTTACATCAAGAGTCACGTGATATTATTGACATTAAGAGGCTCACGTGACATTGTTTATATCAAGAGTCACGTGATATTATTGACATTAAGAGGCTCACGTGACATTGTTTATATCAAGAGTCACGTGATATTATTGACATCATAGGGAACCACGTGATTTTGTTGACATTGGAAACAGCTGATTCACACAATACCTACCACACGTATTTATATACAAATTATTGATACAGTTAATGATTATGTATTATGTGTCTGTGATTCTGTATCTTGTTGTGTCTGCTTATTCTTCTTTGTCTGTCTGTCTGTCTGTCTGTCTGTCTGTCTGTCTGTCTGTCTGTCTGTCTGTCTGTTCATAGTCTATCCTGTCTGTTTTCTTTTATTGTGACTGTATACTCTCTCTCTCTCTCTCTCTCTCTCTCTCTCTCTCTCTCTCTCTCTCTCATGTCTCTATTTATCAAAGCATTTATTCATCAATTTCTCTATTATCTCTCAGTCTCTCACTCCCTTTCTCTATCTCTATTTATTCATCTCTCTCCCTATTATCTCTCAGTCCCTCCTTCCTCTCCCATGTCTCAATTTAGTCATCTCTCACCCTATTATCTCTCAGTCCCTCCTTCCTCTCCCATGTCTCAATTTAGTCATCTCTCACCCTATTATCTCTCAGTCTCTCCTTCATCTCCCATGTCTCAATTTAGTCATCTCTCACCCTATTATCTCTCAGTCTCTCATATGGTTGTCTCTCTACAGGGAGGAAACTGCCCGTCCATGCACAGAGAAGCGTACTACAAAGGTTGGTGTCTTCCTCACTATTATACTTCTTCCTTGTCTTGGTTAATACGTGTTGTTGTGTTTACGTCTTTTGGTAAACAGAAATGTTGTTGTGTTTACGTCATTGTTTATGTCTTTTAAGTAGTAAAACAAGGTCGTCTTGTTTTGTCTTTTATTAAACAAGTCTTTTTGTTATGTTTGTCTTTGTCTTGTTGTTTACGTCTTTAAAAAGTAAACTAAAGTCTTCTTGTTGTGTTTACGTCTTTCAGTTAAAAAAAATGTTGGTGTTGTATTTTCATTTTTCAGTAAACAATAGTATTTCGGTAGTAAACAAATTCTTATTTTTATAAAACTTTTCTTATTGCGTTTACATTCACCCTGTAAACAAAAGTCTTCTTGTTTACATCTTTCAGAAAACAAAATTCTTTTTGCTTACGCCATCCAGTAAACAAAAGTCTTCTTATTTACATCTTTCAGTAAACAAAATTCTTCTCTTTACGTTATCCAATAAACAAAATTCTTCTTGTTTATATCTTTCAGTAAACAAAATATCTTCTTGTTTACGTCGTCCAGTAAACAAAAGTTTCCTCATTAATTTCCATCTCATAAACACCTTCTGATGCTTGAGGGGAACATGAGATTACGTGTCTTAAAATATCAATATTACCTAAAGGGAAACGCGAACACCAACACTTGAGGGCAACTTAATCTCACTTTGTCAGAATATCAACAGCTGTCACTTGAGGCGCCCTTGAGATTACAGTACGATAATATAGCCCCATACATATACTTTAGAACAGGAATAGAGTGATAGTCTAATTATATAGGACTAACATCATGATATAATAATAATATGGTAATGTAATATAGCGTGGTAATAGAGCTAAATAATATATCTAATTACTCTGAGTGCCGACCATAATGTTAATTCAACTAATTTCGTTAAACAGGGAGCATATTGTTTTTTTTTCGATATATTTTGTATTTATTTATTTTTATCTCCCATGCACTTATGAACAAAGAACCCCTCTTGTCTCTCTCTCTCTCTCTCTCTCTCTCTCTCTCTCTCTCTCTCTCTCTCTCTCTCTGCACACACACACACACACACACACACACAGTTTCTAATATTTATCCATTGAACTCAAACAAACATGAAAATTTTCGATTTATTTTAGAAGGATACAGAGCGTTGTGTGTGTGTGTGTGTGTGTGTGTGTGTGTGTGTGTGTGTGTGTGTGTGTGTGTGTGTAAATTAAGTCTCAATATACAGACAAACACCCAGAGGTTATGTATACGTGTAAACAATCAGTGGGCTGGGAGACACAATCCTACAGACGTTCTGAAAACCAAACAAACAAAAGCAAACACACATCTAGTACATTATTCTGTTTACTTTTGTTTTTGATTTCTTAATGTGCACTTTTGTTTTACTAGATAATAGGTAATATTTTTTTGGAGGAACTAAACAGTGATAAGCCTTTACCGTAATGATATGCAACAATGCTATAACTAGATAATAAGATGAGCATTGTGGTATTTATTTCCTCGCTATGCTGAATTGTTAAATTGATTTCTAGATATTAAGTGCATTTTGTGATTTGTTGATAAGTGCATTCTGACAGCATTTGACCTTTTTTATAAGTAACTATTATGTCTAGATAATAAATGCACATTTTTGAGGCGGAATTTACATAGATGGATTGTGGGAAATATTTTTTTTTTTAGCTACGTAATTGACTAAAATTCTTTCGTGTATAATTATTGCATTTTTTTAGCTCATCGACTCACTAAAAGTTTCTCTCCTGGATAATTATTGCAACGTTTGTGTAGCTGAGGAACTGACAGCATTGTGGTAGCATTTCTTAACCATTTTATGATTTTTCTGAATTAGTTCTGCATCAAGACTAAACAATATTTTCTGACCTAAAAAAAATTATAAAGATGATTTTTAAGAAACGTAAAATATTTCTCACCGGTGTCTAAGATAAGAGACGATTACAATGTATTATTCTGTCATGAGGGTTTATGACAGAGATGGTCAACTGTCAAAAACTGTCATGAGGGTTTATGACACAGATGGTCGACTGTCATAAACTGTCATGAGGGTTTATGACACAGATGGTCAACTGTCAAAAACTGTCAAGAGGAAATATCTTTTAATATATCAGAGATTTAAGCAAGAGATAGAAACGTGGTGTATTCTTCGTCTATTTTGTTTTATTTTTTGTTTGTCTTGTTTATTGACATTTGTATTATTGTTATTTCATTTTTTGCTGTTGCTAATTACTCTTTCTCGTGCATGTTTCAATTATTTATATTTATTTTTACTAATAGTATATATTTACATATATATATATATATATATATATATATATATATATATATATATATATATATATATATATATATATATATATATCTTTATTATTATTATTATTATTATTATTATTATTATAATCTTTATTATTACCTCACTTCTAATTGTCTTGTTTTATAATCTAACAACTTATAATATGTGTTGTTATCATAGCTGTTATTAATGTCTCTAACTATTATTATCATTATTTATATTAATATGACAATTATCCACAATATCTCATTACCATCTGTACTGGCAGTAGTTAATGCAACAAAAGTAGTAACAGTAGAGGTAGTAGTAATAGTAACAATGGAACTATTCCTTACATACTATCCAGTGAAACCTCTATTTAACGGTCTATATGGAGAGAAAAGTCCGTTATATCGAGGGTCCGTTAGATGTAAGTCCCCATCTAACGGTCTATATGGAGAGAAAAGTCCGTTATATGGAGTTTTCACTGTAGTCAGAATTTACGCCACAAAACACCTCGGGTCCACAGGTGTATTAAGACCTAATTAACACGGGACTCACCTTACCTCAGCCATGGCCAAATGCAGCTTATGCTTGTTTCATTAATTTATTGCATTCTTAGTGCATGATGGTTGCAAGAGAGTTCATGATTATTTATTTTTATCTTATAGGGCAATAGTGGGCAATATATGTATTTATTTTCATATTTTATTGATTATAGGCAGATTTGATCTTAGAGGGGCAATAGTAGGCAATAAATGTATCAGTTTTCATATTTTATTGAATACAGGCAGATTTTATCTTAGAGGGGCAATAGTGGGCAATATATGTATCTATTTTCCATATTTTATGGACATTAGACGGGGGTTTATTTCTCAAAGGGGCAACAGAGGCCAATATACAGTACAGTATATATTCACCATTTCATTGACATAAAAAACAGATTTGTCATGAAGTTAAAATCAAAATCAAAAGGGCATTTATACATATATATTTCCATGACAAAATATATATATATATATATATATATATATATATATATATATATATATATATATATATATATATATATATATATATATATATATATATATATATCCCCTCCATGGAGCTATTTACCAGTTATATATCATTTGACATATAATATAGGAAGTAATATATTCTAATATAGGAGTAATTTATTGTAGGTATATTTACGTAAAATATATAGAGCTTTTATTTTATTTTTATATTTATTTGTTTGATAATTTTGTAGTTGGTCAGCGAACACTTGTGTCTTCATTACGTGTGTTTACTTAACGTAGGAGTTTGTTAAAAGACTCACGCTTTAATTATAGAGTTAGTTAGTTGAGCCACTGAATACAAGGATCCCTGTTATTATTTTTAGTTGTTAGTGTAGACATATATATATATATATATATATATATATATATATATATATATATATATATATATATATATATATATATATATATATATATATATATATATATATATATATATATAATGTGTGTGTGGTTAATGTGTATGTATACGTATTATGTGCGTATACAAACACACACACATATATTTAGTTAACATAGTCAGCCACATACTTGCACAGTTAGTTGCTTGTTATATACTTGACGCCCCGCCCAAACCCTCCTTCACTATACTCACAAAAGCAAAATTTTGTTGGTAATTCGCCACTGCAGCTCACAACTTCACCCACGAGCACAGGACGCCCATGACCAGGTCAGTACTGCACCCTCACGCCCACCCTCACACCCACCCTTCCACCCAGCCTAAGAGCCCCCCCCCCCTTTACCTACCCACCCTTAACTCACATTCAAGCAACCCTTACCTCTAGCCTCGCCGCCCTTACACCCAACGTATGATACCTGTGTGTGTGTGTGTGTGTGTGTGTGCGCTAGGCAGAGACGACATGTGAGCGTGTGACAGGAGAGGGACGGGGTCGAGTAAAAGCGTGCGTGTGAAAGAGTAATCAGACGTACATGGTAACCTTGCGTGGAAAGGGTGTGTGAAAGTGAGTGAGGGGGAGGGGAGGATGGCGTGAGAAAGGAAAGACACACGGAGAGAGGAAAAGAGATACTATTGCGTGCGAGAGGTGTCAGTAGTCTCCCATGTGGTGTGTGTGTGTGTGTGTGTGTGTGTGTGTGTGTGTTTATTCTCACCACAATCCTCCAAGTGATAGGTTGAAGAAAACAAAAGCAAAACAAATACACACACACACACACACACACACACACACACACACACACACACAAAACAACAACACAGAGATGAACTAAAATAAATAGCAACTAATATGACTAAACATAATAATAGACATAATGAAATCTTAACCAAAATGAATAATAATCAATATGAATAATCGCACACCTGTAATTACCTGCCTATATTATGCATCACCAAACAAGGTCAACACACCTGTGAGATGAATTATTGGGACCTGTTGAGGGGGGGGAGGGGTAATGTTTTCTTAATTTGTTTTTAGTGAATCAAGTATACAGCCTTATGCATACGTGTAATATGTATACAGTCACCTCAAGATCAGACACGCAGCTTATTTCACCTGAAGATTAGTCTATCCTAATGGTAACCAATCCTCACCTAACCCAACCTAACTTAACAAAAACCTAACCCAATTCAACCAAACCATATCTAACCTAACCTAACCTAACCTAACCTAACCTAACCTAACCTAACCTAACCTAGTCTAGCCTAGCCTAACCTAACTTAACCTACCTTAACCTAGTCTAACCTAACCTAGTCTAACCTAGCCTAGTCTAACCTAACCTAACCTAACCTAACCTAACCTAACCTAACCTAACCTAACCTAACTTAACTTAACTTAACCTACCCTAACCTAGTCTAGTCTAACCTAACCTAGTCTAACCTAGCCTAGTCTAACCTAACTTAACCTACCCTAACCTAGTCTAACCTAGCCTAGTCTAACCTAACCTAACCTAACCTAATCTAACCTAACCTAGCCTAGTCTAACATAACCTAACCTAATCTAACCTAACCTAGCCTAGTCTAGTCTAACCTAACCTAACCTAACCTAGCCTAGTCTAACCTAACCTAACCTAACCTAATCTAACCTAACCTAGCCTAGTCTAACCTAACCTAACCTAACCTAGTCTAACCTAACCTAACCTAACCTTCAAGGGTATCATTAAGGTGGCTAATCCATAGGTAAAGAGAAGTATTTTGTTGACCCAATATAACGGCAAATATATTATACTCAGTGATTATCAAAAAATAGATTAGACTAATAATTCCAATCATAGAATATAATCAGAGAGAGAGAGAGAGAGAGAGAGAGAGAGAGAGAGAGAGAGAGAGGAGAAGATTGGAGAGGAGGAAGAAAATGATTAGCAATGATTAGGAACACAGACGTAGAAGAGAGTAAGGTTTATGCACTCTGATTACTCTGAAAGAAACATTATTCACTCTATATAATACGCCGAGGTTTAGTTGATCTTAGTGTGAAATAAGAGTTAAATATTCACTCTAGTTAGACATTCACTCAAGGTCAGAGGAAGGGGGGGGGGAGGAGGAAGTCTTTAAAGATAAATTAAGAAAGAGAGAGAGAGAGTGAGAGAGAAGGAGAGAAATAGAGAGAAGGAGGAATAATAAGTGAAAGGGGGATAGATATGATAAAAGAGGGTGAGAAAGACTTAAAGATACACTGTGAAAGAAAGAGAGAATAGAGAAAGAAGATAAAAGGGGGAAGAGGAATAGATGATATATTAAAGGGGAAGAAATGGGTAAGGGAGAAACAGAAGAAATCATAGAAGAAAAGGGTAAATAAAGGAGAGAGGAGGAGAAGAGTAGAGAAAGGAAAAGAAAGAAAAAGGGAGAGGAAAAGGGGAGAAATAAAAAGAATAAAGAAAGAAAGAAGTGGGAAAGATGAGGAAATTACGGGGGCTATAATGGATGATAAAGGTGGAATAGGGGAAAATGCAAATATAGAAAGCGAATGAGGAAAAACAATAGAAGGGATAAGGAATCAATACTCGGAAGAAATATTTTTGTTAGACTGTCCATAGACTGTTAGACTCTCTCTCTCTCTCTCTCTCTCTCTCTCTCTCTCTCTCTCTCTCTCTCTCTCCTATATGTGTCTCTTTCTTTACCTCACTCACTCTCTCTCATGTACACTCGCTCTTAAGTATTAACCCAACAACACATCAGGTTAAAGGTCACAGGTGTCACTCTACCTGACCCCACTAATTAAATATGAGGGGTAAGAGTCACCTGGTTAATTATACAGAAGGGGATGTGGTTAATTAACCTCACTTACACCTGGTAATCAACAAAGATATTATCTATATTATCTTGATGTATAAAAAAAATTATAGTTACTCATTTGTTTATTATAAAAGATGTTTAGTTGCTGATATGACTATAATTATTATATGACGTGTTTATATACCATGGAAATCAATTGATCATTACGAGACCTTAATTAACTGGGTTCTATACAGGATGATACTATGACTGTATGTGTGGTAGGTAGTTAAGGAGGAAGGTAGTTCATGGTGATTACACTCTTAGGTAGTTAGAACGATTGGGAACGATTATCGGTTGTTTATTCTTGTTGTTATTTTGTTTTTAATTGCGGCCATCCTTCAGCGTAATGGGAAATGATTAAGAAAAATAGGGAGAAAGTAATGAAATTATGGCGATGTGTGGATAATGGGGGTAGGATAATGGTAGATCAGTGGCGATGGTGTTATGGGAGAGATTATCACACCATGGTATTACTAGACGAGTATAATGGTATCATGAGGAGGGGGAGTACCATACCACGGTAACTGATTAAGAGTACCAATCCAAAGTGCTACACAATTTTACCTTTGGAGGCAGGGAAAGAATGACACACACACACACACACACACACACACACACACACACACACACACACACACACACACACACACACACACACACATGGTACCACAGAAGGATGCACCAGAACTACAACCACTGTACCATACCAATGTACCACACTAAACCACCACAACGGTACATCCCAGGACGAAGAATTACAACCATAATACCCAGCAAGGTACCACTCTATCATACAATGGTACCTTGAGAAGAACGTACCATATCGATGTACCACACTACCCCATCTGTCTCGTGGTCCCAGAGGTGTTCAATCCTTTCATTTACCTCCAAATTCTTTGATATGTCTCAAGGGGTAGTTTTCAGTTTTTTTTATTTAATGGAAAATATTTCATCAGTCAGATTTTGTACTGGAGTTACAAATCAAGTGTTCAGGCAGACTTTAGCACAGTGATGTCAGAAGTTAGAACTAGTAAGGCCAGCACTGAGTGTGTGTGTGTGTGTGATGCAGAAATCTATCAGCATAGCTCATTTGTTCAGATTTTTATATGTGGACAAAAATGACCTTTCCTTTTATTACCTACACTGGAACAGAAGAAATGTTCAGCCAGAAGAACAAATGAATGAAAATATTGAACAAGGATTTTGACGTAAAGTTCCCTCAGGATTTTTATCTTGGGTGTCCAATAAACTACTCAGTCAGACTTAGAATAGAGAGGAAAATTGCCTGTAAACCAAGAACTTAAAAGAAAAACGTTTATTATTCCGAAATTATAACTGAGAAGACAAGAATAATTCTTCAGTCAGTTCCTTACACTTAGAAATAAGAAAAACACTGAATCAGAACTTTTTGTAGAACAGAAGAACCATTTGGCCAGAACTCTTAAATGGTTCTGTACATGATCACAACACAAGAACCTTCAATTGAATTATGTTCTTGGAAACGCCAAAACATTATTACGAACCATTTCTTCCTTCTCATTATCACATAAGACTAAAACATGTAAAAAGCGATGAAAAACAATAAACAAAAATATATAAAATACACAGTAAAAAGGTCCCTTATTTTTCTGTGTAAAACGATATGAGACAAAGGATCTTGACAACCCAACTGAGAAAACACGAGTCGTATTGATCATTTCAAAATTCATGGGACCCATCCAGGAAGATACTTATTGTTTAACCATTTATCACACGATACAATAATCAAACAAAAACAAGAAATCTAAATAATTGGAGAAATCGTCTTAGATGTTCATTCATACAGAAAAAAAAAATTCAGACTAGGATAAAAGTATATTTAGGTTCATTATTTAAAAGGATGAACCCGGGGAAATATTTATCTAGAATGAGTAGAGATTATCGCAGCATAAGGGAAGCGTGTCGAGGGGGTGTATAAATAATGCCAAGCGGTGCCCAATTTAGCAGCGTACAGGTGAGGGCGACAGGTGAAGCTGACAGGTGAGAACGACAGGTGAGGGCGGCAGGTGAGGGCAACATGTGAGAACGACAAGTGAGGGCAACAGGTGAGAACGACAGGTGAGGGCGACAGGTGAAAACGACAGGTGAGGGTCGACTGGTGAGGGTGACAGGTGAAAGCGACAGGTGAGGGCGGCAGGCTACAGCGACAGGTGAGGGTGACAGGTGAGGGCGACAGTTTACAGCGACAGGCGAGGGTGATAGGTGAAAGCGACAGGTGAGAACAACAGGTGAGGGTGACAGGTGAAGACAACAAGTGAGGGCGACTGGTAGGAACGTAAAGTGAGGGTGACTGGTGACAGCGACAGGTAAGGGTGACAGGTGACAGCGACAGGTGAGCGTGACAGGTGACAGCGACAGGTGAGAGTGATAAGTGACAGCAACAGATGTTAACGACAGGC